CCCCCCCCCAGCCGAAACGATGGAGAGTCACTTGTGAGACCCACGCCGTCCAAGTCCGCACCACGAATACGGAATACGCAGATGCCTGCGCTGTAAGGCTGAGCCGACCATCCGCCCGCCAGCCGCCAAGCAGGCATTGCGACTAAATTAATAATCCCGCCAGGGTGTCGACGCAATGCGGCGTTCAGCCACGCCTCAAACAAGACAAGCGAGGAGGGACTCGCGTCCTCGAGGATGATTAGAATAGCATTCGCTACCCTGTCCACGTTTGTGGCGTCCACATCGTGCGTGTCAACCGTTTAACCTTGTTTTAGGTGCCGCTTGAACGCCCCGCGCAGCGGACTTCCCACGCCCTCTTGCGGCCCCCCAGGTGCGGAGGCGAGCAAGCTCAGCTGTGGGGTTGATTAGATGGGCCGTCGTGGCCAGCTTCACGCAGACGACATGGCATGGTTCAGCCCCAACTTCCAGCCGTGGCCCGCTCCAGAACCATGTCATGCCGGCGTGGGAACGGATGAAAAGTCTCCGACTCTCACGATGCGATGGGTATAAAGCAAGCAACATGCCGTTGGGGTTTGAGATTCTCGCTACACAGCACACCAGTACATTAAGCAGCACAAGTTACGCAACTCAAGCGTCCAAAAGTCCGACTTGAAACTTTGAACGACATACCAGACGCATCGCTCTTGATACTCACAACCACCATGCCCGCCTCCAAGCTCGTCACTGTCTATGGCGCCACTGGCGTCCAAGGTGGTAGCGTCGTCAGCTCTCTGCTCCAGAACAAGACGGGAGACTTCTCTGTTCGCGCCATCTCCCGCAACCCAGAGTCCGACAAGGCCAAGGGCCTTGCCAGCCGAGGTGTTGAGGTTGTCAAGGGTGATGGCTTCTCCAAAGAGCAGATGCTGGAGGCCTTCAAGGGGAGCTGGGCCGCCTTTGTGAACACGAACTCTACCGATCCGGTACGTGCCAGTAGCAGGCCATCAACACCAAAGCCTCGTGACAAACTTCTCTGACCGTGTTGCTCCCAGAACCTCAACCAGCCCGATGGCCTGACGGAGAGTGGACTCGGCAAGATCATCGTTGACGCTGCATTCGAGGCCGGTGTCCAGCATCTCCTCTATAGCGGCCTGGCTTCCGCCAGCGCGGCCACCAACGGTGTCATTCCCTGCCGCGACTTTGAAGGTGCGATTCAATGAAATCTTGGGCCTGGATGTTGCTGATTGGCTTCGCAGAGAAATACGCCATTGGGGAGTATGCCAAGACCAAGGGATTCAAGAGCGTTGTCATCATCAGCATGGGTTGGTACATGGAGAACCATATTATTGAGGAGAACGCCGATCTGATGGGCGGCTTTCCGTTCCACCCTGACGCCGAGGGATACCTCACGCTCCAGATGCCCGGCTGGGGTGGCGACGGCAACGTGCCTTGGATTGCCGTGGACGAGGACTACGGCGACATTGCCCATGGCGTGTTGCTCGACCCGGAGGCTTACAATGGCCGCTTGGTCCAGACAATGAGCCAGCTCGCCAAGCCCGGGGCCCTGGTCGACGAATTTGCCAATGGTTGGTTGCGCCTCTCCATGTTTTGACAGGAATATTCATTCTGACCTTGGGCAGTGACGGGCAAAAAGGCGCGGTTCGTCGCCGTGGACGACTGGAAGAAGTTTGAGACCTATGGCAGCCCCGATCTCGAGTCGATCAAGAACATGTTTGGCTTCCTCGAGCTTTCTGGCGGAAAGTACTACGGCGAGGCCTATGACCTGGAGCCAGCCAAGAAGCTCAAGGCCAAGGCCGCGGCCGCCAAGGGTCGGGCGGAGGGTGAGCGCGGACTGACGACCTTGAATCAGTTTGTCCGCAAGCACTTTTCTTCGTAGTGCAAGGCTGGGCCACACAGCGCCCTAGAACGGTTCAGGCTGTTTGCTTCAAGCCCTGACTAGACTGTACTTGAGAATCATCACTTGTTGACTATAATAAATGATTACGAATCCGCATTGATCAACTGGGAAATACCGACGCCGTGATACCAATCTCCTCTCGCGGGCATATTTCACCAAGCACTTTACCTAGGTTGACACACTGGACGACGCAGACGCACCGCCCAATCTGCTGAACACGACATCGACAACCGTCAGTTTGGCCTCCAAGAAGAGTGGTTCTATTTATTCCGGAAGGTCCCTTTGCCATCAACGGGTTCCCAGTCGCCGAGCCGAGTGCGGACGTTACGAGCAGCATGTAGCACCGCGGCGGGTATCTGAAGCAAGTCCCGCCCCCTGCACATGCCCATGTATGTCCAGCCATCTGGCGGGCCGCTAGGGCTCCCTGTCACCGCGCCCGTCAGGCTCTCTGTTCCTGCGACTGGCCTTGGAGGCCAAGATTCTTCGTGGCTGCCGCAGGCTTGATGTGCGGGCTGCCCTCGGTCAGAACAAGACTCGCCGTGCTTGATAGACGCCTGTAATGTCTCATGCAGCTGACCTGGTCTTGTGCATCCAGTCGCGCCGATCCCGATCTTCGGGAGCGACTAAGCCCCTCACTTGGGTAGTCCTCTCACCATGTCGGGGAACTCTGCCAGACCATTGCCAGTCGAAACGAGGACCGATCCGATACTGCTCGTCGACGAGTATATTCCGGGGCCGGGTATCGCCGTACGAAAAGACCGAAACGTTGGACCGCGGAAGAATTTATGACACATTGGGGTAGACACGGTAAGTCCAGCCGGCATTGTTGCGATATAGGGAGGCGATGCGCCGTCGCGAGGCGTCCTCACGTCCGAACACGAGTGGCTGCCTTGTCATGATCATCGCCAAGGAGCCTATCGCAACTGCAAAACCAATCTGCAGTGCGATATGTAATGACCCTCTGGAACGGTTTGGGGGAGGCGGAACGGTCGGAAGTAGAGGCACGAGGTACCAGCTATCGAGTCTTGCCTGTGTTATCCAGAAGCACCCGTCTGAGTGATGGCCACCTACGTCTTCTTGATCAACGACCGACACACGGCAAGATTATTTACTGCAAAGCGGCGCGCGGGTGAGAGCCACTCAAGAGCAACTCGAGGAATGAAGCCAAGGCGGCAGCCACATGAAACGACAGTTGGCACACCTTGGGTTACCTGTTGTTCGGCGGCGTCGGGCGTCGCTGTGCGCCAGCCCGGCCCAGCGCAGAGCCGCCACGGGCGCAGAAGCATCGCGGCGGCGCAGAGTCGACCGCTGAATGAAGGCTTGATGGACCTTGGCATTCTCTCGCCAGGGAACGCAGCGGATGTCCCTCGTGCTGTCTAGCTGGGTGGCTGTGGACGTCGGGAGGCCCACGCCAGGAGGATTCACCGGAGCCACAGACTGAGCAGGGACGCGGCGCGTGCCGAGCGGCGGATGCCTCCTCCAGCTGGAGGGCTGCGTCCGCCGCCCCCCACCACCACCCACTGTGCCGTGGCAGGTGGCAGGTGCAGGCGCGAGGCACGGGCGACAACCAGCTCTGCCCGCCCGCGCCGGAGT